GAATCATGAAACTTAGGTCATGGTCAGAACCAATTTCATAGCATTCTAAGTTTCCTGCATAATCATTTTTTGTCTCCCCTTAGTTCAGATCTGTCACTTTATACCCATTTTTGTGCAGATTGAGAGGTATGCTACTCAGAATCCTGTGCCTAGTTTTCATATTCAGTTGTTCATCTTCTCCAAGGCTTTTGTCCTTGGTTTTAAGCTGTTTTTGAAAAGCTCAACAAACAGCTGGCCGTAAAACAGAACTGCTGGTAAATTAATCTGAACAAGTAATACAAGAAAGCAATTTGCTGACACTGATGGCACACAGCAGAAGTAGAGCACTGCCTTACAACTGGTGGATTTGTTATCTTTTTTTAATCAAACAGCAAATAAAAATAAAAGTCAGTTTTCAAAAAATTCAAAATCTAGGAATGCTGAATATTTTATTGTCATAACCTCACCAAAGAATGTGATCCTTTCCTTAAATTGGGAGAGAAAAGGCAGATTGCTAATAAGGGTCCTGATTCTACTGTTCTTATTCAGACAAACCTCCTGCCAAAGTCAGGCTATTAGGTAAGGACTAAAGAATTTAACCCCAAACCCTTTACAAAACATTTCAGAAGTATTTTTCCCACCTACCTGGCAGAAGTTCACAAAGGAGGCCACCAGGGGCCAGAAGACAAGTTGTTGAAGGCACAAGAACAGGGATGGAAGACTCTTGGCACTGAGATAGCAGAGCTGGCAAGTGCGGGTACTTTTTAGGATCACCTTAATTAAGAACAAAAGAGCACATTTGATACTTCGTATCTTGAAACCTCTGATTATTCAATTAAAAAACCATTGGACACAACCGTGACAAAGCACTGTTGCTCCCAGGGCCCCAAGCTACTCTTCACTATTCTGAGGGTTGTCTACAAGGAATAGACTAAGATTTGCCCCTTGTACAACTTCTTATCCCAGGACAGCTTACTTCCATGTGCCCTTGGACTAGACCTTGCAATTCCAATAGCACAAGGGATCTTACCCTGGTTTGTATAGAATTATAGGGGATTGTAAAAGGGGCAAGCCTGAAGTGAACAATTGCTTTGAAAATCACTTTCACCTCAGGCAGTCAGTAAAATCAATAAAACCATGAAAAGATTCATTACACAAGAGAGTTAAAATGGTACAAGAAAAAGTAACCACAGAACATGAAGATAGGATATAGATACAAAATGTAAGAATCTCACATCCTGTTCTGTCTCTAAAATAGTCCTTTGGAGAGCAATGTCGGTATTTTCAGAGACCAACTTTCCTGCTGACTCTACCAGCGCTGACAGCTAGGGATGTGGATTTAGTCTCCAACTTCCCAACAGGCCCTCCCTAAACATCTTAAAACCTCCCAGAGGCTGGGTGCCTCCATGTTTCATTAGTCCTCCTGTCCAGGAATGCAGGGACACAGTGATTAATGCCTCACCAAATCTCCAGAACCATGGGTATCCCTTTTCCTTGCATATAATGTGCACCCCATTTTTCCCCAACTGCTTTTTTTGGAGGGGGGAGGGGGGAATGTGCAGATTATATGCAAGAAAATATGGAAGATGACCAAGTCTTTCATTATATTGAATTTCTTAACATCTTCCAATAACCAGTAGTTCACAGGTTCTTCTATAATAATGATAATGTTTTCACCCCGTCTGACTACTCCAGCTATGTGGACATGGAAGATAAATATTGGGAACATTGTTTATTACTATATGCTAGGTCCAATCATTTAACAATGTTCTTATTGTTTCACTCAAAGTTACTTCTCATTCATAAAGGCAAAAATAACAAACCTTTAATAGTTTAAGTTCCTTTTTAAAACACAGCTATTTATTAAAACATTTTAAAATCCAGAGCCAGAGAATGCTAAGTACAAATGCCATGGTCATGAAATTGAATTTATTATAAATAAATAAATAAATGTGGTATGTATGTACCTGGTGCTACTGGTTTATCTGCAGCTACAATTTGATGAAGACGACCTATAAGCTGTGAAGCCAGCTGATATGGATCCTTTAGTAAAACTTTCTTGGATAACTTGAGAGTTTCACTTAACAGATTCAAGTCAAGTAATGTCCTGTGGGATAAATCAAACAAACAAACAAATGCTCTATCAAATAATGTATTGTTTTTACATGGAAACTCAGAAAAAGACACAGATGTGTTTAGTATTTTTTCATCTAAAGAGAGTTTTATTAGGTTTTTTTGACTGAGACAGTCGATGACCAAAGTAGATGGCAGATGTGCTTTAGTTGGAGACCTTGGCCCCAAGAGGAGAATGGGGCATAAGAATACTTGTTACCAGAATTTTATATCCTGAAGGCCTAGTTGTAGATGGTGACATTTATATATAAAATAATTGTTAGTGAAAGACGACAGACCATGCTAAAATACTACACTGCTGTTCAGAGGCAATACATACAACGCTGGAGTAGCGCATGGGAACAAAAAAGGGAGGCTCAGGTCTTATTTAATTTCCAGATCTATTACTATTATTATTGGGCTTCTTAGGTTCTATTGTAAACTCACCTCTCAGTACTAGCAGCTGCTTTTAAATCCTCTTCTATGCTGATCACTGATAAAGCACATGCTTTATGTAAAAGAAACTCATAGTTAAACAGGCATTCTGTTATCAACATGGTAATATTATTGGATTTGATCAGATGATATGAAGTTCCAACAAGCTTGCGAAGGTTGAAAACATAACTGACTTTGGATTCCTTCTTCAAAACCCAGGCCAGAGGCTGGGAAGTGGTCATTTCACCATTTATTTTGGAAGCCTTGTGTCCCAGGTAGTAATCTGCAAAAGCAGCATGCAAAGACAGCTGCAAATCACATGTTTTCAGGTATCGCTCCATACAGATATGCTTCAGAAATGAATGAGTCCAGCTGAAAACGTACGTGTTCTCACTCCTTTGTTCTACCAGATGTTCTCCAAAATCTTTCTGAATTTTCATCCATAACACTTGGGGGAATGCTAAAACGGAGACCTTCTGATATTTTGTTATTTCCTGCATTACCGTTTCATCCAGGGACAAGAGATCAAGCAGTTCTTCCAGTGCTATACCATTTTTTGACAGAGTGATGTAGGCTGCCATTCTTTTGATGACTTGCTCTCCATGGTTTTTTTCCATTTTGGCCAGTAACCACGAGTACATTTTAGATAGATCTGGAGGAAGATATACCTCTGCCTCTAGGCTATACGATGTCCACAAGAATGATTCTTTATAGGCACAAAACATATAGAGTGGTAATGGGCAGGCTACACAAGCCTCTATTAAGAGTTGCTGCTGGTAAGTTGAGAGTATTCGACAATCTCTTTTCAACCAGCAAGTGATAAGATCATTTATTTCTGTAGGTGTAAGAGAAGGTATTTGTAGAATATTCTGTTCTACTCCAATTTCCTGCAAAAACAACATAATTTAAAATGGAACCAAGAGGATTGTGTGTGTGTTTTCTGTAGTTGTGTCTTGTCCAAAAACTGCCTTAAACAATTAAGTGCTTCCCTACCTTCTCACAATAGGCACAATCTTGCCTAAATTTACATACTCATATCCCCACTGAACTGGTAAAGGAGAAGAATTCAGCACCAAAATAAATTTCAACTAAATGTGTAATATTTTGATATTTCTAGATTCATTGAAAATATCCTGCAATGCATTTCTAATAAGACTCCTGGTATTTGTCACATCACATTTTGTGTTCAGTAAATCAGGGAAAATCATGATATGCTCAAAGAAGGCTTTTATTTTTATAAAAGTAGTTATGTTAAAACTTATTTCTCAGACAAAATGCCTACCCCACCATAATTAAACTACTCTTTTCCTGAGCATGGTTATTTAATGATGTGCATTAGCCTAATAACACTGCACAGTAGGTTATTAGTACAGTTTTTGCCATGACACTCTACTGCACAGTTATTAGGCTAATGTGCAGTAAGCACCTCATGTAGATGCATCCACTGCGAGTCAAACCAGAATACCAAAGACAAACCTGATTCATAGTATATGCACTGAGGTACTGACATGGCATGCAATAGATATATTATATATTTACTCTATTTCTTGCTAGGATTTGTTCGCTATACCATCCTGAACATGTTCTAAGAGTATAATAGTAAAATCAACATGGCATTGTAATATTTTTTTAAATCACATGTATTCCTAATATAGTCCAGAGCTTCAAGCCATGAAAATACATGGCAGGATTGTTTTGTAACTGTCATAAATTACCTGTTTAACAATTGAGTTCACTAAACAAATATCAAACATGCATGGACTTAAAAATTATAGAACAACAGACTATAAAACTAGACCTCTGGGTTTCACTTGTTATACTACTCTTTTCCTGCAGTCAGTTCTGTGCTAGCAGACCTCTGTAGCCTAACCAACCTCCATGGACAGAAGATCCAGCTGTACAGTTCCAACTGCAGCAACAGGATACAAATCAATAGGAGCTGAAGATGGTCAGGTCATTGTAAATTCAGAACTTTACAGGTTAAGAACTTGATTCTGTGAGACTTTGCTCACAAGCATGATTCCACTGTTACCAATGGATTAACACTTGAATAAAGATTATTCACACGGGTAGATGACAGCCTTAATTTTCAAGCACAATGTTTAAAATAAATCAAAGGGGATATATCTTAGCAGATTTATTTATTTAGTGGGGAGGGGATTATGGACAGAAGTGCTTTTGGTTGCATTGTGGAGGGTTAGTATGTACATTTTTTACTCTTTCTGAATTGTGTGTATTTGGTTATATTTGTCCTAAATTATTCTAACCACATTTCATTATTCCCTTAATAAATAAAATACTCGAACATGAATAATAAAAAGTGAAACTAGATATTAAATGTCAACATACATTATGTTCCTTAATAGACAAATACTGTTTTACCTTCAATGTTTTTAAGCATGAGTAGTTTGATTCCGTGGATGTAGAAACCATAAAATACACATTTTCAGGTAGTTTTGTGGGTATCCAGGATAGGTCAGCTCCATATTCCTCAGACAACTCATCTAAACCATCCAGACTTATCAGAAGTGCTTTATCCTTAGTAGCAAATTCCAGCAATGAGGCAAACTCCTGAACCAATGCTTCAAAATCCTTATTTGAAAAAGAGGATATTTTTAGCTATGTGAAAATACTTGTCCTATTGTACTTGGTGCATTTTATGGCTAACCCAGATGTCTCTGTGACCACTTTTGTCTGAGAAGGGCTGGTTTGTCAGTAACAATGAGATCACTGGAGAAATCTGGCTCTTGTAGGAAGTACTGAGACCTGACTGGGAGAGATATAAAAGATGTGGAAGACGACAAAGTCCTTAGTTTCTGTCTAGCATACAAATACTGTGCTACCACAGTGCTAGGACCCAAGAGATTCAGATGTCTGTTAAAATGTCAGTGGACTTATTGTGTAAGTAAGGTAAGCAGGATTTGAACAGAATGTTACTCTGTGGATCAATAGTATCCCAATCCACGAGGCTGGCTTGAACAGGCTGCTTTGTATCCATAAAGAAGGAAGAGTCAATTCAGTGAGAATGTAGTGGCATGCTGTACCAATTTTTTATCACTTTAAGTATACTATATTTTATGGACTATCAACTCTTGGTTTTGCTTTCAATTTAATTGGCAGCTCTAGATTTTCTTTTGCCCTGAAGCTTGCACTGAATTATACTGTGACTTTAAGTAACTGCTGGAATTAGGAGCCATATGAATTCTGAGTACTGAAAGTACTTAAGGAGGACAAATGTGAAATTTTTTGTTGCTATTTGCAAATTAAGCTATTACTGTTTTCCATTTTGGAATCAGCTGAATGTCACAAGCACATCAATAACATTCTTGGTTGCAGCAGAGTTTCTTTACATTGCTTAAACAATAGTTATATGACTCAGCTTTAGAACTAAATACAAAATAGTGTCAGCTAAATCCATCCACCCTGTTGTAATGAGGGGGAACAGATATACTTCCAATACTTCCAGCAGAAGAATGGATTGCCAGTACAAATTGCTAACAGCAGCTGGTTGAGTGCATATTGGCATTCTTCTGCTTCAATGAGCAGGAGTAAAGCATCTCACCAGCTGTAATTGGTCAGTGCCTGCTATTGACACAGGATACAGGTTTCCCTCACTTACGCAGTAAATGTGTTTCTGGAAAACAGCATATAACTCAAATTTGCATAAAGGGAACCCACTTTACAATGTAACAAATAGGGATATGTTGCAAGACCTTGACTGTACTGACCCCCAGACCCATTTCTACAACTTTTACAAGACAATTTTGGTACTCACCAACAGCAGACAGTACACATAAGCACAGGGTGGTGGCGAATGTTACTATAATGGAGATGGCAACTACAGAAAAATGTCGCAGACAACGAACAAGGAACACAGATCCACACAGGAGACTATATTTTGCTGTGTATCATTCCCACAATGCAGTGCACAAAGCAGCTGACTGTGGGCTTCCATCACACCGGTCTCATAAGGGTGAATTTACCTTGCATATAATGAATTTTTGGTATATAAAGGGTCATCGCATAAGAGCGAATTCGCACATACAGAACTCATATAAAGCGAGGGAAATCTGTACCTAACTTTAGAGTTTTCTCTGATTCTCATCATTGTTGTACCCAAAAGTTTTCCATAAAAAACCCCCAAAAAACAGATCTCCAGATCTAAGTTCAAAGAAGGGTATATGTATACTTTTTCCTGACTCCAATGCTAACTTTAAGATATTCAGAATGATCAGTAACCCACCCCCCCAAAAAAAAATAAAAAGGACTTGGGATATCTTTTTAAAAGTCAATAAATTTTATAGGACTCTTTTCTTACCCACATTGTCTTTTCCTATTTGCTAAATACTATTTTTGCCTTCCATACTTATAACCAAGTATGAAATTACCCTATCAATCTGTGTTGGTGTTATTACTCTAAATTACATGTTTGACCAACTCCTGTAAGCTATCTGAACACAAATTAGCTGCTAAGGGTGTGTACAGAAGTACTCCATGCATGTTTCACAGTGCTATAATTTACAGCACTTTTTATAGCACTATAAGGTGACAGAGTTCTTAAACATGACAGAAGGCCAGTGTTTGATCAGAGGGGCCTCTGAGCCTCCCTGCACTTTTCAGACTAGGAGGCAGGGAGTGCTCCACAGCCTCTTGGGGCTTCTCCATTGGTCACTTATTACAGGTGCTAACTTAATGTGCAGTAACCAGCACTGCTGCACAGTAGCAACGGTGCAGTCTTTTAGTGACGCTAATGTGCAGTAGACTTATTCTACTGTGCATTAGCATGGCTTTTGCCATGACATGCTAATGTGCAATAGAATTAGTCTACTTCACATTTAGTGTGTCTGTAGATGCACCCAGGGTGTGTACAGAAGTTGCTTTTTTTGCCATTTGAAGTGATTTATTCCTGTGACTTAACAAAGAGGCATGGCTCTACAGCACTTTAAAAATGGGTACAGCACTTAAAATTATCCCTTGTTAGATGAGTTATTAAATTTGAAGTCCTATATTTTACAGCACTTTGGCAGCCTATAGTGCTTTAAATAACTTTTGTACACTGGTCAAATTTCTGACCAGTGGAGAAGCACCAGGAGGCTGTGGAGTGCTCCCTGCCATCTAGCCTGGAAAGTGCAGGGCAGCTAAGAGGCCCCCCCGACCAAACCAGAAGTTGCTTTTTTCACCATTTAAAGCACTATTGCTGTGACTTAACAAAAGGTGTTAACTTAATGTACAGTAGACTAATAACAAGTGCTAACTGAAAGATAATAACAGGTACTAACTTAATGCGAAGTAATAATGGCACATTAATGAACATGTAGATGCTCCCCCTAAGTACAATAATGAGATTTTCAGAAATCAGGAAGTCCCTCACCTGCCCAATTCTGACTGAAGTTAGAACACTGAAATTCTGCATTTGATAAGCTTTCAGGATTGTACTCCATTAGCACTGTAGTTAATTTCTGCTGCATCTGCTGGTCATAAAACAGCAGAACACCACAGAAAATAACAGGCTCTAGCAAGTGTGCCTTTAAAAACAATATAAAAACCAAGATAGTCCCATCATGTAGTAATTTTAATTACAATCAATTTTTAAACTTAGATGCAGTTGCTTTTAAAAGTAGAGGTAGACCTAATCTGTAATGTCTTCAAAATTCAGTGACAAATAGCTAGATCAGAGCTAATCATCCAAGCCTATCTCTATTTACAACAGTTGGTGTTGATCCACTGTGATGGAGCAGCTTCAGTGCAATGTCACTTTATGGGCTGGACCAAGGGGGCCAGCAGGTGGTTGGTGATGATGGCCATTTTCAGAGCTTAGTTATAAGGACACAGGAGAGCAGCTTGTGGTAGCAGCTGTGGAGGCAACATTTGGCTGAGTCCCTGCTCCAGGAACATCTCGGAGGTAAGGTTGAGGCTATGGGGAAGGAGGAGGCCTCATTGGTCCTGGACATGACCTAAAACTGCACTTTGCCGGGATAGGGAGGCCTGGTGGTTCAGCCTGTGGTGGGGCAGGGCCACTCAAATACCAGGACCGAGGACCTCCCCGTTGTAAGGCAGGCAGGTGT